CGGGTTTAGTGGTCTAATAGAGCCTGGTGAGCTCTCCAAGACCACTGCCCCTATTTACTCTTCAGGTCTGGAACTGAACTCACTCCAGTGGCTTCCAGCCAAACAACAGACAGGCATATAGGTAGAACATTTACATCAGGTAGATACACTCCTCAGAACAATCAATCATGGGAGAACAGAAGGGCAGTATTTGAATAGTGAGATAGCTCAGGGGGCAGGAATGCATAGGAAAGAAGGACACAGGAAGAGGTAACTACAGGGAAGAAGTGGGAAGAGAGTTGTTACATTGTGGGGAATTGTAGTCAATGTCATGAAACAAAATGTGTATAAACTGCTGTACGGAAAATGAATTTACTCTAAAAACTTTTACTCAAATCACAATAAAAATTTTTAAAAAAGAAAATGCCAAAATATAAACTTACATAAAGGAGTTTATTAAATTTAGGGATAAACTACGACTAAAAATTTGGATTTGTTAGCATGTTACCAAATGTCCCATGTGAGAGATAAACATAAAACAGTTGTGAGAGATAAATATAAAACACTTGAAGAACTACTGGGAAGAGAGAGAAAGGGAAAAACAGGCAGGGAAGCGACTTAAAAAGTAATCAGGAAAGACCTTTATTGTTGTCTGCCACAAAAGCAATACAGGATGTTGTTGTTGTTATATACCATCAAGACTACATGATACTCATTTTAAATCAGCCTAATATTGCAAACACCTAAAATTCTATCACGATTTCCCAAAGCTCTCAAGAGGAACTAATTAGTAGAATAAACGGTTGCCCTACCTCCATGCAGATTTGCTGACAGTACGAATGGATACGCTTTCATCCAGCTCATCACAGCAATAGTTTCTGGTTGGGTAGGATCTGTGATCTGAACAAACTGGTCTGGGAAATTTCGGTTCAGGTCAAAGTTATTGCTGTTGTTTCTGCCAATTACGCTTATTGAATCTCCTATATGACAACAGGATTCAAATTTAAGCCATGGGTCACTTACATTTTAGTCCTATACATATTACTTCAGCTATCCTAGCTCAAAGATAAGTGTGAACACATCAGGCTTCACTACGATCAATCACACTATGATCAAAACACACACCTCTTTCACATTGTACATTTTTAAAAATCCACCTCTTGTCCAGGTCTTTTTAACAGAGAGGGAATACCCTTATACGTTAGTTTCTGCCCTCTGGTTATACTTTGAGGGAAAACGAAATCCATTTATACAACTTATATTAAAATATTGTTCCATTGTCAATAGTCCACATACAATGACATGATCACAGTGCTAAGTAAGCATTACTAACATACTGTACTGACATACAGTCACTAAGACTGCAAAAAAAAAAACAGATCAAGTGAAGAGATGAAAACTGTGGTAGGCTTACACTAAAGTGACCACAAAAAAGTAAAGTGAGCCAAGAACATAGTTGGAAGTTTAACCTGATGGATAAGAAAGGGCTCAACTTACACTTAACTGTGCATATTCCATTTTAATATAGGTTGAGAGTCCTATTATTTTAATAATGGAAGGACAACTTCAAGTAAATAAAAAAAATATTACTGAAGAGAACAGAAGTGGTGATTAGTTTTACCTTCTAGAAAGGTCTGGTGAGGAACGCGAGAGGAGTTCTTAGGGAAAGAATTCAAATACAGATGAGGGTTAACCTGAGCCTATTTCTTGAAGAGATATTCTTGTTACTAATGACCAGTTGATTCTCCCATTGGTCAAGTCAGTGCAAGTGATAAATCACATAGTTGCATATTGTGGTACCTATTCTACTCGCCTGGGTTGGGAAAAAATGGACTCTCCCTCCTAATGTTCTATGTGAGGTGGCCTAGGTAAGCAACTTGTAAAAATTGTACACTGCTTTTGGTGAAAAACTCCATTACATAAAAACTTGATCATATATATCGTTGGATTGACTGGCATATCTCACAGGAATACAAGAGCTATAATCAATTACAAATTACAAATTAGAAGAAGAAATTCCAGAGAGATAACCAGTTCAAATTTTCTTCTACCCCCAAAATAATCATGCCATGTGATAACCAAAACATTAAGCATTAAAACATTAAAAAAGAGAGCTAGTCTTTACCTTCCTGGGCCTTTTCATATCCATCAGGATTCATGGATGGCATAAGGTGAATTCTAGTGCTACGAACCAAATCTGTTACTTCAGGGTCTGTTCCAAAGTTCTTACAAAGGTATTCAATGAGGTTCAGTAATAGTTCTCTTCCAACTACTTCATTTCCATGCATATTTCCAATGTATTTAAATTCTGGTTCACCTGAAAACATGACAATTACATGGAAGACTTTTTCCTTTTCAGTTATCATGGGCTCCTTATATATTTTTCATCAATGTATATAAAGGTTCTGAACTGACGATTTAATGAAACATATATTCTGGAGACAGAAGCAGGAAAAAACTTCAGCATCTTATAAAGCAGTTTCCTTATTGTAATATATGTCTGAGAAACAGGGTCAAAGCACATAAATTCATATATGCCTTATAACATGAAAACAAAAAAAAATTAGCAGAAGAGAATCTGATCTATGCAATATATTAAGCATCACATCTAGTATGGATTATCAAATAGATTTTCTTCCCTTTTGATAAAAGGCTGGTTACATTTTCTTTGTTCCAGGTGACCTTTCTGGATGAAACACAGCAACACAGCACATACCTAGCTATGAAAGGCACTATTGACATTATTTGTAAGATCACACCGATTACCTGGCTCATGAACACCAGGATTATCAGATATCTCCATCACATAAAGTTCTCTTGACTCTACTGATTTTCCCAATGAATAAAGCCGAGTGATGTTAGGATATTCATTGGCAAACCTTCTCAAAAAGATTTCCATATCAGGGAAATGGTGGTGGTGAAAGTCCTTTGGCTGAATTGGCTGGTGTGAGGATGATGTTCCAGGAGGAATATTAGGTGTAGCAACCGTGCTTGCAGTTGCTATAGCCTCAGTTGTGTCTGGAATTACTGAAGTCACAGTTGGCCGAAGGGAAAAATTCACCTCTGTAGCTAGTCCTTCTTTCACAGTTACATTATTAAAAGTCAGTGGCATATACCTAAGGAAATATTACAAAAGGCAGATGCCTTGTAGTTAGCTTAAGACATATAATGCTTTAATGTTATAAAAAGCACCATAGTCTTTTCATACTGTGGCGCTTAGTGGTCTGTCAAAACTTACACTAAATATAGATATACATAAACTTAAAGGTTTTTCAGATATTACCTCAGAAAATACCAGATTAAGTCTTTAAAGAACTATTTCTCTTAGTATCTCCTCAGGTGTCATACACTAGAATGCTTACAAAAACATTACATTCAAAGGAAAGAACACACTGAAAGATTAAGGTGTCACTCCTTTGCAACCGTTGCTACCGTACTCAAAGAAGGAATAAATTATTATTCTCCTATTTCAACTACTGCCCCAAATAGGAAAGTTGAGAATTAAGTTACAGGTTATCAATTAAATCCTTATCAAAGTAAGCTTCCAGAAAGGTTTCCAGGGCAGGTGGGAAATCACTCATTTCATATATAAAACATCTGACAGAGCCCTGGGTTTCTCCTACACAGGCATTCAAATGGCCTTGAAACAATGCTTTACACAGCTACCTTTTTTGTTCTTAACTTTTTATTGTGATCTGGATGAAAGTTTACAAAGCAAAATAGTTTTCCATTCAACAATTCATACACATTTTGTTTCAAGACATTGACTGCAATCCTCACAATGTAACCGCACTCTTCTCACCTTCTCCCATGCTTCCTGTTTCCATCCAACCTTCTTTCCTGTCCCTTCCTGCCTTCTGAGCTTTGTCCCTGGGCAAATGCTGCCCTTTTAGTCTTATATGGTTGACTGTTCTAAGGAGTGTGTATCTTCCTGGTGTTATTGTTTACCTTATGGGCCTATTGTTTGGATGAAAGTAGTTCCACAAGGATGAGTTCTGTTCTAGACTTGAAGGGTGTTTATGGGCCACAGTCTTGGAGGTTCCACCAGTCTCTATCAGACCAGTAGGTCAGGCCTTTTTTATGATTTTGAGTTGGGTTCCATATATTTTTCTCCCACTCTATCCAAGACCTTCTATTGTGATCCCAATCGGAGTGGTTGGTAGAGGTAGCCAGGCACCATCTGGTTCTTCTGGTCTTAGGGTAGTAGAGACTAAGGTTCACAGGGTCCATTAATTTTATGGACTAATTGTTTCCATGTGTCTTTGATTTTCTTTACTCTTCTGTGCTCCAGACAGAGAGAGACCAATAGTCTCATCTTAGATGGTAGCTCAGAAGCTTTTAAGACCCCAGTCATTACTCACCAAAGTAGGGTGTAAAACACTGCCTTTGTAGAGTATGTTATGCCAATTGACCGTGATGTCCCCTGAAACTACTCTCCTGAGCCCACAGGCCCAGTGACTCACTCCCTCGAGGTATTTGGTTATGGCTAAGAACTTCTCATAACTTTCCCCTGTAAAGTTGCTACAGCCTCACTTGTGTCTGGAATTTTCAAGCTTTAAACAGTGTCCTTCCAAGGACAGTCAGGAATAGGAAAAGGATATGGAATGTGTGGCTAATTGCCTCCATAAATACCTACCCCTTTTGCCACAAAAGCAGAAGAATTGCATGGTGCCCAGTTACCTCTGCTGAACACTGTGACCAAATATTCTGTAGAATAATCCTGATCAAAAGGTGGGTGGTAATGCAGAACAGAATTTTAAATTCTTATGGACTCTAGACTTTTTGGAGCCATGGAGGCTGGATGAACTCCTGAAACTACTGTCCTGAGGTAATCTTTAAAACTTAAACAAAAATATCCCCTGAAGTCTCCTGAAAACCAAACGATAGTTTAATCAAACTAGTAAAAAATGTCTGCCTTGAGCATTATGCTTTTTAAGAACCATCTACATGGGATCCAAGTGACAATAGCAACTCAAAAGATTAGATAGGAAACTTAGGGGGCAGTGAGTTTACGTTAGTGAGGGAGGAACAACTCAGAAAAGGAGGGTGAGAACGGTTGCACAATATAATCAATGTCACTGAACTGTACATGTAGAAACAGTTGGTGTTTTTCTGTGTCTAGTTTCAACAATAACAAAATAACTATTTAAAAAACTGTCCTTCCTCCCACTGCTACAATTATGTTTCATATTCAGATGTACTGTTAGACTATGGGACAAAACACACCACCATGGTATTTCCTCAGAAAAGGGAAAGTTAGAAGAAAAAAAAAAAAAAAGCCAGATACCGCATACAACATTTCTAGGACTATATTTCTGTCTTAGGCATAAAAAAAAAGCTTGACATTTTAAAAGCCTAGTTTGAATTCTTACCCAATTAAAACTGCTGTAAGGTTATATGTTCCAGGAACAAGTAATCTGTGGAAATCACCAAATCTGCCTGTTGTGATATTGTGATTAATACCAGCCACTGAGATAGTTGCATTCTCCAAGCCAGATCCCGTTACTGAGTCTTTAACAAATCCTTTAACTCCGATGTGGACCTAAGAAATCACAAAGAAAGAATCAAAGCAGACTGCTCAGAGACAATCAATTTGGAAGGCAAGGGGGTAGAACCTCTCTATGCTGCTGCTAGAATTTCCAAAAAATAAAGTTACTCCTCTATCTTCTTAACATATTTTTCAATACTTTTACTTAAAATAAAATATAAACAAAAATATTAAACCCTTACCAACATAAATTATAGGTGTCTGAAATCTGGACTAGTAGTCTATATGCTTTTGAAATTCCCTCTCCTCAAAGCCAGACTATTGATTTTCTCAACAAAATATAAATGATAATTTCTGGTATATCCAATAGTTTTATTAGCCTATCTGAAATTTAAACCTGAAATGTCCATGGTGCATACAGATGTAAAGGTCTTCAAGCCAAATATGATCAAATGACATTGTAAGAACTGGGGAGACAAATTTGGGTAATTCTTTCAGTCTGTAAAAGTGTTCTAATATAGGAAAAGGAAGCCCTTTAGAGTAAGAAGGGAGCTCTGGTAGCACAGTGCCTAAGGCAATTGACTGCTAACCAGAAGGCTGCTGGTTCAAACCCACCAGTCACTCCTCAGAAGGAAGATTGGGTGATCTACTTCTGTAGTGATACTGCTTTGGAAACCCAAGAAGGGGTGGCTATGAGTCAGCTCCAACTGGACAGCAGTGAATTTTTTAGATAGAATAAGAAAGCTGGGAGAAAGGGAAAGGCAACATGCAGGAGAGAAACAGACAGAATTTATTTTGATATGATAATCTATCAAGATGATCTACAACCTCAAATAATAAAACCAGGTAAATAAAAGGAATCTAGTACAGACTGTCACTCATAAGCAATTTAATTTCTCCCTTATTTAATCCATTATTTCCATACCCCACCTTCCAGTCAGCTACTTTTACCTTTTCAATCAATGTGATCAAAGACTCACGATTGTTCTCCCACTCCTGTCGAAGCTGTGAAGCTGGTGGGTACTTGCAACAAGATAGTTCTAATGTGATCTCAAAGCAGTTGGCCCATACATAATTGTAATCCTGCATACCACCTATAAAATGAGGGAAGAAATAAGTTTACTCTCAGAAGGAAAATTATTCTACTTTTCAAAAAAATCGAAGAAATTTAATCAGTCATCTCTGCATGTATAAATTTTCTTTTCATTAAATTATTTGAACTTGGAGAAAGCACTTGGATTACAGAGGAGACTAAAAAGGAAAGCTAAAAGAACATACATAGGTGATAAGAATGAACAGGATGAATAGTATGAATACATCAGTTAATAACAACCGCAATAATGACAACAGCTTTATATTTGAATGTTAACTGTATGTCAGACTTATCCTAAGAGCTTTAGGTATAATAATATTTAATCTTTAAACAATCATATGAAGGTGGT